ATTGGCTTTCATCATTGCTATTTACGGGAACATCATGCACATTACGATTTTCTTTATCTTTGATGAGTTTTTTGCTCAAGAGTAAATGCAAAGGCTAAATTACTGTATTCATGCAGACTACTTGCACAAAATTTGTCCGTCAGTTATACAAATTGTTAAACACCTTCCTAAGTGATAATATAACTCAGTACCTCCATTTTCATTCCAACATGCAGTGGCGTCGCTAGGGGGCCTGGAAAGGCATGTGCCCACCTAAAACTTGCCCCCAAGTGCCCCATTTGAATTTTAGATAAGAGTCTTCATATGAATCATTCGAAATTGAAAGAAGCACATGGCAGTAAATGTAGCTCTTAGGAATTCACGCAACCTTACTGTAAAGAGAAGCATTCTATTAGCTGTGCAGACTAGTTTGCGTTGCATTTACCCTTTCTGGGTTAGCCAAGTGGTAAATATTTTAATTCCTTAAAAATTTAAAAACAAAACAATAATTCTAGAATAATTTAGATCTCTAGTGAGCAAGTAAGAACAAGTACTACTGTGATGCTTATCTTGAACCACATTACACCATATCAAAGAACTTGTATGAGATCGTGGACAAGTATACTCGTAGACTCAAATTTGTAGACACAAAATACAAATATAGCAATGACTAAGAGTAAGGCTCATGAAAATACTGCAATTCTGGAAGTATTATAATATGAAAACAATTCATTAAAATCAATAATCAATCTACGTAACGTTATAACACGAAGAATGTACAAATCGCCAAGGTTTAACTGGGAAGTTAAAAATTGAAACTATTCATGTTGTGATAAATATTTCAAATTCCCAGTGCAGAAGAAATTTTTAGGGCATTTCGCTAGCGACTGACGTGGTACAAATTTTGTGCCCCCCATTCGCAAAATCTTGGCGACGCCACTGCCAAATGCTTAAATGCAGGAAAACTAAAATGTCCAATTGCGTTGTTTTCAGCTGCCATCCTCTATATTCATTTACACGTACAAGTAAAACTGTAACATTACGTAGCTATGTTTGATCTTTAACAATTTTAGTTGTCTAAAAACTCTAATTAAAGAACTAATTTATGTTGATATTAATATTTTTATGACCCTTAGATGGAGTCAAGAGAAGAAAAGAATTACAATTACTTGCAGAAAATACTTAAAAATGTCGTTAAAAAGAAACTTGTTGATTTATTTATCCAAGAGTGGAACGCCCATTGCAGAAAAGACCACGGAGAATGGAAAAATACAGACGTTAGCGGTCAGAAGTTGTTCAATATTGAAATATCAGAGAAAAAATTTTGTGATAGACAAACTTTGTAAAATTTAAAGATGGTGACACCAGTAAGTGGGATTGTACAGCATTATGTAAAGCAATATTGTTTACCCACTCAATTGGAACAAAAATTGATCCAAAAGTTAAAGCTGCTGTGGACAAACTTCGTGATGTAAGAAACAGAATCGCTCATAATCAAGATGGTAAATTATCTGATGTGGAATTTGATAAAATGGTTTGTGATATTAGAAATTCGTTTCAAGATCTAGGATTTTCATTCATTGAAATTAATGAAATTAAATGTCAACGAAACAGATTTGATTCTTTTCAAGTACTTCCTTGCAAATCAAATCACGATGTAGTTAAACGTACAAAATTACTTAATCAAATCACAGCAGATCTCAATAACTTGCGCATTACTAACAGTAATGAACTAACATATTACTATATTTCTGGTAATCCTGGCAGTGGTAAATCTCAATTAGCCAGACAAATTTGCGAAGAAATGTATAACTCGTTTGACTGGGAAAAGAATACGACATTTGTGATGACACTCGAAGGAAAAGATATCGATTCTCTTTTGAAAACTTATTATGAACTTTATCAACGATTAAACAATGATAAAACTGTCATTAAAAATATTTTAAAAGAAGCAAAACGCAGTGAAGACAAAGTAAAAGATTTTCAATTATTGCTGACACAACAACTGAAATCTTGGCAAACATGGTGGATTGTTGTAGATAACGTGGTTGAACTTTATAAAATTTATCCATTATTACCTCAAGTTGGTGATCATAGCTGGAAAAATGGACAAATTATAGTAACTGTTCAAAATACAGATGCAATACCACCAGATGGAAATTTAAATAAGCACCTTTCAGTTAGTCATGGTATGAACAATGAAGAATGTCGACAACTTCTATCTGTCTTTTCTGATATTCATAATAAAGATGAAAAATTTTTAAAGGATTTATCAGACAAATTAGATCGTCAACCGTTGTTCCTGGCAAATGCTGCTTCTTACGTAGGTAGTGTAAAAAGTGTAAATCCGACATTCACGTGGAAGAAATATTTTAATAAGTTGAATGAAGGAGAGCGACAGAACATGGATGCCAATTTTCAAAAAATAAACACATCTTACTTAGGAATGAAAACTGTTATGTTAGCAGTTCAAAAAAATGCTGAAGAATCCATCTTGTTGGGACATGTTTTTAAACTTTTCTCAATAATATCTTTCGATCCCTTACCACAAGATATTATAATACCATTTATTAAAAGCATTGATCCACAAAAATCTGCAGAAGATGTCTGTCTTCAATTAAAGCATTGTTCTTTATTCCTTCAAACGGAAAACAACGACATCCGCCTGCACAGCGTTGTACACGAAGCCATCATAAATTATTCATCGCATATCTTTGGCTGTAAACAAAACGAAAATAATTCTAAAAAGTCTGCAGCTGATCTTGCCTGTCAAGTTGCTTGGGCACTAAATCATTTTAAAGACAGAGAAGATGAAATCAAAATAATTCCACATCTAATTAAATTCATAACAAATTCATCATTTCAACATTTCCTAAATAAGTTGATCGATGTAAAATCATCAAAGCAAAAACTTGATGAAAGAATGTGGAAATTTGCAAAGTATTTTGTAGACGTTTTGGAAAGATTTTGCAATTATAAACTTGCAACCAAAGTACTTTATGAAATAACAGAAATTCAAACTAAAGTGTTAGGTGTTGATCATATTGATGTTTCATATTCGTACAACGAGCTGGGTGTATTGCTTAGAAAGAATGGAGAATATGAAAATGCAAAAGATTTTTATGAACGAGCGATACAAATTAAAACGAAAGCATTTGGACTTGACCATGTTAATATTGCGGCAACGTACAACAATCTGGGTTTGGTTTACAATGATATGGGAGAGTACGAAAAAGCAAAAGATTTTTATGAACGAGCGATAAAAATTCAAACGAAAGCATTTGGATCTGACCATGTTAATATTGCGACAACGTACAACAATCTGGGTTCGGTTTACAATGATACGGGAGACTACGAAAAAGCAAAAGATTTTTATGAACGAGCGATGGAAATTGAAACGAAAGCATTTGGATCTGACCATGTTAATATTGCGACAACGTACAACAATCTAGGTTCGGTTTACTATAATATGGGAGAGTACGAAAAAGCAAAAGATTTTGATGAACGAGCGATAGAAATTAAAACGAAAGCATTTGGACCTGATCATGTTAATATTGCGACAACGTACAACAATCTGGGTTCGGTTTACAGAAATATGGGGGACTACGAAAAAGCAAAAGATTCTCTAGAACGAGCGCCAAAATTCAAACGAAAACATTTGGACTTGATCATGTCAATATTGCTACAACGTACATCAATCTGGGTTTGGTTTACAGAGATATGGGAGACTACGAAAAAGCAAAAGATTTTCTTGAACGAGTGGCCAAAATTCAAACAAATGCATTTGGACCTGACCATGTTAATATTGCTACAACGTACAAAAATCTGGGTTTGGTTTACAGAGATATGGGAGAGTACGAAAAAGCAAAAGATTTTTATGAACGAGTGATAGAAATTGAAACAAAAGCATTTGGACCTGACCATGTTAATATTACGACAATGTTCAACAACCTAGGTTCAGTTTACAAAGATATGGGAGATTACAATGAAGCAATTAATTTTTATAAACGAGCGAAGAAAATTCAAACAAAAGCATTTGGACTTTACCATGTTAATATTGCGACAACGTACATTAATCTGGGTTTGGTATACAGAGATATGAGAGAGTACGAAAAAGCAAAATATTTTTATGAACGAGTGATGAAAATTCAAACAAAAGCATTTGGACCTGACCATGTTCATATTGCGACAACGTACATTAATCTAGGTTTGGTTTACAGAGATATGGGAGAGTACGAAAAAGCAAAAGATTTTCTTGAACGAGCGGCCAAAATTCAAATGAAAACATTTGGACCTGATTATGTTAATATTGCTACAACGTACAAAAATCTGGGTTTGGTTTACAGAGATATGGGAGAGTACGAAAAAGCAAAAGATTTTTGTGAACGAGCGATAGAAATTAAAACAAAAGCATTTGGACCTGACCATGTTAATATTGCGACAACGTACATTAATCTAGGTTTGGTTTACAGAGATATGGGAGAGTACGAAAAGCAAAAGATTTTTTTGAACGAGCGGCCAAAATTCAAATGAAAACATTTGGACATGATTATGTTAATATTGCTACAACGTACAAAAATCTGGGTTTGGTTTACAGAGATATGGGAAAGTACGAAAAAGCAAAAGATTTTTATGAACGAGCATTAGAAATTCAAACAAAAGCATTTGGACCTGACCATGTTAATATTGCGACAGCGTACAACAATCTAGGTTTGGTTTACGATGATATGAGAGAGTACGAAAAAGCAAAGGATTTTTATGAACGAGCGATAGAAATTGAAACGAAAGCATTTGGACCTGATCATGTTAATACTGCGACAACGTACAACAATCTGGGTTCGGTTTACAGACATGTGGGAGACTACGAAAAAGCAAAAGATTTTCATGAACGAGCGATAGAAATTCAAACGAAAGCATTTGGACCTGACCATGTTAATATTGCGACAACGTACTGCAATCTGGGTTCTGTTTACGGTGATATGGGAGAGTACGAAAAAGCAAAAGATTTTCTTGAACGAGCGATGGAAATTGAAACGAAGTCCCACAGTACGTACGGAAAAACCTAATATACAAACTAAACAAAATATAAAACTTCTAGTGTAAATTGTTTTCAGCTTTTAGCAATTAATTTGCAAAACTTTTGAATACTACAAACGCGCATTATCATAAAAACAGTTTGATCATTATGATTGAATCATGCAATCTTAGTGTTTCCAAAAACAACGGTAAAACTACTGCACTGTCCTAAATATATTAGGTCAAGCAGTATCAAAGTACATCCGATTGACTGCAATGGTTACAAACTGGAAGTAGTTACATTTTAATCCTGTGCATGGCATGCATTGATACAATGTGGCACTTTTTGCCAACCATCACACTTTTTATATGTAGCTAATTTATCCACGAGTAATGTTTTTATTATTAAACCTTTTTTCTCGTTTTTAGTATTTATAGAAGTACTTTTACATGGTTTTATTCATGCTATTGGTTGTTATGCCATAAATTGCTTTCGTGAAGAAATTATACATATTTACAAAGTCCACCACTATAGACCACCTAAAAACATTGTAAATTATTTACTATTTTATTGCTTTAATTTTATAAAGAGACATCGACTGTAGAATGAAAGCAGTGAAAGATTTAGATCCTACTGTCTATATATCTATAGATGCTGCCATCGAAATGAAGAATGCTGATTTTTCTCCTGATTATTTTGTAGAGGATGACGACGAATTCTTTGAGAAGAATTTTCTTGACGAAGACTACGGTATTAGAGATGATGTTCGTAAATTATTAAAAAGGTTTGTCTCAAAGATATTTACCCCATTTCCTCTATAAATGTTGACTTAAATAGCATGTTTAAAACGGTCAACGCCACTATGACCTTTGTAATTTTAAAAATGAAAAAAATTGTAAAATAGTCTATACATGAAACAATAGCTACATTTTTTGCGAACAAACTGAACAGTTTCAAATAGTTGTGAGAGCTAGTTACTTGCGCGAAACTTTTACTAACTATTCATCATGGCGAACACTCTCACCAATACAAGTTCTCTTCTTTTTTATACAGTTAAAGTTGGACTTTTTAGCATTCTAGCAGAAAACCTAGGTGACATTGAAAGGATGCTCAATAACTATGCTAAATAAAATCACGCGTAATTTAAATCTTTCTGTGTTCACTGATTTTGACTTTTTTCCTGTGAACTAAAAATCAAGTTTGCAAAGTTTAGTGGGTAATAACATTAAAAAAAACATGATTTAGTGCTACATCCAACTCTGAACAACTTTCTTTTACTGTATCATTAATTTGATTTTAGCATTTTCTATGAATGAGAGGAAAAAGTTGAACATAATTCTGATATATATTGTTTTTGTTGTACCTAATTTATTGAATACTATTATATATTATGTAGTTTTCCTTGGATTTGTGGTGGATACGGGGTACGATGGGAACCCCGTCTATCTTTGTATGTCACTGTGGCAGCTAAAAGACAAAATGATGAAGATGCCTTAAGAAAAGAAATTGATGAAACGTTTGGATGGAACGCTTCTCCTTACTTTGAATTTGAACCAGAACCAAAAGAAAAATCGCAGTTTCGATTGTTGTCAGACCTTAAAGTAGTAAAAAGAGAGAACGGTCCAAATCCATTCAGTGAAGATATTCATGAAACAATTGCAAACGGTTTTGTTACAATGTTTTGTAACAAAGACAAGAAACACTACGCTTTGACTTGTTTTCACAATTCATGCATTACTGACCGACAAGCAGCTGGTAACGAATTCAATTTTTCGCACATCTGGGAAGATATAAGACAATTATGCGAGAAAATTTCAACAGGAGCAATCCCAGATGAAAATAGATATTATTACGTTCCACTTTTGGGTGAAGAAATAGAACTTGGAGCTCCTTGTTGTCGATCATTTAATGAAAGCACTGACATCATGGCCATTGAAGTTATTGACGAAGAAATGATTACTCGCAACCCTTTCGTAATCACGGAGACTGATTGGAAAAAAGTTAAAAATCAACTGAAGAAAAGAAATGCTAAGGTTCAGAAACATTTTGGAGGCGCTTTAGGAAAAATTGTAGACATTAGCTATTCACACATATGCAGAGAAACCAGACGTGAAATCTTTAGCAATGTTATCACCATTGAATGCGACCGTCCTTTTCTTAAAGATGGAGATTCTGGAATGTTAATATATTTCTACAATGAAGACACAGAAGAACACATACCTCTGGGTTACGGAGTCTGCGAACATAAAAAAGATAATGGAAAAATTGTCTATTTAGCCTTTAGATTAGACGTCGCATTGAAAAATCTAAACTTAAAAAAATGTCTTTGGTACTTGCAGGCATAAAGAGTGATCTTAGTCTTATTTAATGAAGTTTGGGATGAGAAAAGTTTATATTGATGCTTTATCAAATGCGAAAGTACTTTTTCGTATTCATATACATCGATTTAGGTTTATTGTGTTTATCAATTACTTATTTCTCTTTATTTTATTTTTATCATCATTTTGGTGTCATTGGTGATATGTTCATTTTCACTGTCTCTTGTATTCGCTATTCACATATTTATTGCACAATTCTTGTCATTATAATTTATATATTTTTTCCCAAATCCATAATTTTCTCTGTAAATTTATGATTGGAGTTGAAATTACGAAATCTGAAATGAATTTCAGATAGTCAAAGTTCAATTCACGCAAATGATAAAATTTTACCAAACTTTAACAAATATATTTACCATCTCAACACTATATCTTCAATATGTAAGTATTTTCTGCATGACTATTGTTGTAGTTAAGCTAATCATTTTTAAACAAATAATCATTATGTACTCGCTTGCAAAAAAAAAACAGTCAAACTGAAGACAGCATAAGTTTGCGGAAACAAATTTATAATTGAAACAATTGTCGTTTATCTGAATAATGGAATGTCTTAAGTTATACTAACAAATGATTAAAGTATAAACTAAAATTAACAACCACAGGACTTTCTGCTCGTACCGCCGTTTAGATTAGCACAAAATACAACAAAAATGCTCGTATAACATCATCAATCATTTCTTTATCGCTCAACTGGTGGCGGTGTTTAAATTCATTTTTAACCACAATGTTTCCATTGAAGTATACGTTCCAAAAAGAATAACGGATTTCGCCAGCATTGAGCGACATGTCCTATGAGTCATCGTTAGAGTACAAGATACAAAATCTTTACACATGTAGATAGCATTATTTATTCCCTTTTTAATTAACTCAAAAACGCTGGTTAACAAAGAAAAGGTCTGATTTCAATTCTTGGTGTGCAAGTTAAGCCTGTTTAAAACGTCGAACTTGAAATGCACCGAACGCATTAAAAACAAAAGAAAATGAGATGAACTTCTTCATTGTCTTTTGTTTTAAATGCGTTCGGTTCATATAAAGTTCCACGTTTGAATATAGGCCTTAATTTCATGGCCCTCATTTTGGACGATTTTCACAAAGCATTTTCCTTATTTAGAATGCAAATGTCATCCAATGTGACGAACATTTCATTGTTCTTTCTCTCCCCAGAGAATGATTAGTTTACTTACGTTAGCTACAAATCAAGACTACTCTGAACAAGACCACTAAAAATCATAAGGTGTGTCTTTGATTTATATAAGAATCTCGTCTTCAAGTTTTTTAAGCTTTAGACTTCAAAGAAAATCATGCTTGGGCATAATTTACATTAGAAACCAGCATAGCTACAAAAAATTCAAGAAAAATAACAAATTATATTATTGAAATGCAGTTTAATTTGTCCCATAGATGAATGTTGCATATTCTGCTTATCTTCTTAGAATATTTTTCAGTAAAAGTGAAAGCTCAAATCATCATAAATATTGGTGTAAGATAACAATGAACAAACATTTTTCCTGATCAAGAAGTTTACCTCCAACGTAACAAAAATGCGAATAATAAATATTGCCTTTGAAGGAAAACGGTGAAAGTAGAGTTAATTTTTAAATTCGAATAATAATTACTCTATGGGTATACTGAGTCGTCAGCAACACAAATAAGTTTTCATTGATTTGTAAATTTGATGCCAGACAAAGTGTGATTATTTTAAAAATGCAAAAAATTTTTTCTCAAATTTATGTTGCGGTCCATGAATTTAACTCCCTTTATTTGGCAGGTGTCTTTATTAAAAAGCTTGCAGTTTAAATTCAAATAATGTGTGGTCACCTTTGGTCACCTTTCTCCGCTTTCTCCTGCTCGGGTAGCGGGTCTTTGCCGGAGACCCAGTTCTATGAGACTTATCCAGGCTGCTCTGTCCTGTATCCTCTTCTTTGACACCACATAGCTGCATGTCTCTCCTGGTATCCTTCCACCGATGCTTTGGGCGTCCTCGTTTCGTCTCCTCCATTTGCATCTCATAAACTCTCCGAATGTCTACATCTTCTTCACGCCGGCACACATGTCCGAACCACTGCAGTCTTTTTCTTCTCATCAATTTCAGTATACTCATGACATTCCTTCTTCTCTTATGCTTTCATTTGTTCTGTGCTCCTCCAGGCTGACTCCAAGACAATAGCGTATCATTCTCATCTCGCATACACTGATCTTCTCTGCTAGGTCTGTAACAGGCCAAGTTTCATTCCCATACAGAAGCACTGGGCGTATTACCGTTTTGTAGATGAGGATCTTCAGTTTCTTCGGCATCTTCTTATCACAGAGCACTCCCGTTAACTCTCTTCATTTATTCAATGCCCGGCTAATCCGTAGTTCAACCTCGGTCTTGCAACCGCCATCCTGATGGATGGTGGTCCCGAGGTACTTAAATGTCTCGCAGTTTGGTAGATCTGTATTTCCGGGTCCAGCATATTCTCTTAGCTTCATGTTTCCTATGCAGCCACTCGGTGGAAGGTACTCCGTCTTGGCTCTACTAACTTTCAAGCCAACATCTTCTAATATTCTTCTCCACTCTTCTAGTCTTCTTTCCAGATGTTCTCTCTTCTCATCACACAAGACCAAATCATCTGCAAACATCATACTCCAAGGTGTGTCCTCTGTCGTGTCATCCGAGATTACATCCATAATGATAATAAAGAGTAGGGGGCTTAGTGCCGAGCCTTGATGTAACCCGACCTCTACTTGAATTTTCTCAGTCTCACCAACGTTCGTTGCGACACTAGTGGTAGAGCGCTTATACATATCTTTGATGGTTTCAATATAGGCCCCTGGGACTTGACGCCTTAGACAGTACCATAGTAGCTCCCTCAGGATTGTATCATACGCCTTTTCAAGGTCCACGAAAACCATATGTAGCTCTTTGTTGAATTCTCTATACTTCTCTTGCAGCATCCGCAGACAGAACATCGGCTCAGTGGTTGATTTTCCGCGTTGGAATCCATATTGGTTGTCCTTTATCTTCACTATTTCTCTCAGTCTCTTCTATCACTCTCTCAAATAATTTCAGTGAGTGGCAGAGGAGTTTAATGCCTCGATAGTTTCCACAGCTTAGGGATCACCTTTCTGTTTGTAAAGGGCACTATTCTGCTTGTTCTCCATTCTTCTGGTATAAAAAAAAAAAAAAAAAAAATAATGTGTAAACAAAATAATGTGTAGACAATATTATTGGCAGTTTAAATTTTTTGATAACTGCCGTTCCTTACAATTCTTTTTCCAAAACTGCATGGCAACAAAGATCCTTTGATGTACAATGTATGCGAAACCAAAGTAACGGACGCAGACAACTTCGTTCGTACAGCTTCAACGTTTGTACCGACACAAGGATTTAATTTCAAAGAACAAGTGTATGACAAGAGAGCTAAATTGGTATTGTGATATGCACAAGAAATTGTATCGGAAATACTGATGTTATCATCACGTTTCACTGATTATCCGGAAAATACATGTACCCCAGATCTTTCGCCGTGTAGAACTTTCGAATAATTTGATCACCTCTCCACGCTCAATTCGAATAATCAACTCAATTTAACGAAAGGTCACGGATCGTATTGTCCAATGTTATTCATTCCACCTTCGGACACGAACGCGGAAGGAGCTCTCACCTTGTTCCGATTAGTAGATGGTACGAAAAGTAATGTACGAGAATACACATATGACAATTTAACAAAAACAATCATGGCGTAAAAAGAATGTAGCTAGCGGTAATTACAAACGATTAAGCGTTCCTATGGATAACGCCATATAAGCTGCCGAAGGCAGTACAGTGTTCAAAAGTGGTGTTGTAATTTATGATGAATTCGTATTAAAAACTAATTAAAAGAAGACATTTTAAGGGTTGCCTGCCCGACGTTATTGATCTGTTATCAGCAATCGGATCCCATAACAGATTACTTAACTTAAAAATGGCATTTACTTTTTCTGGTGTATTACGTACGGGTGCGACAAAAGATACGTTTGGATCAATTTTAACTCCTGAACCGACCCCTGAGCAACTGCATCTAACTAAAAAATATTTTTATCATGTAAAATTTCCAATATCGACTATTAGTAATACTATCCGATCAGAATTAACAACAAACCAACACATTTTGGTACAAGATATAAATTTCCTCTTTTCAAGTATAACGATGCAAATCAATTGGGAAATCCATTTAATCAACGCTATGCTCTCTACGCGCAGATGAATGCGGAAGTTGACGTCACCACCTTCTTTTCGAGCGTTAGCGCTGGAGAACGGGTTTTGCTACAATTTACATCTGCGAACAAAGGATTAAGAGTCATTCATGTCATTCACGATGGAATAGAATGTGCAGCGTAAGCAGAAACAAGCAATCTTGGCATATTCGATCGTAGAACAAATGGAGCAATTCAATTTAAAGGAATAGGAAACACGAGTTTTAATAGTGGCGGAACTTACGTTACCTTTAACATTTTCAAATTACGATAACTTCACGATATTCTCCTGGATGCGGATATTCTTGGTGAACCCACCCACCTTGGTGATAATGAGTCTTTGCTGATTTCATCTACAGTAAATATGGAAATCCGTTCAATCAACGTAATGCCATTAGATTGGGTTACGACAGGTTGATGTCACCGCTCGATTTAAAGATGCCGGTATTCAAGTGGGTGAAAAGGCAATATTGCAATGTATGAGTGATGACGTTGATATGCGTACCGTGATGATCCTGCGCAATTTCAAAACATGGACGGTGTTTGCCGAAAAAGTAAATTCGGACTATTCAAACGTGAAACATCGGATCCTATTGTTCTTAAAACAATCGCATTACGTAGTACGAATCCTTCGAATGCACGTGCCACATTCAATATTTACAAATTGGAAAATTTTATTGCGATCGCGAAGAAACCTTCCATCAGAATCAACAACAAACCAAACTTTCTCGGTTTATCACCCAACAACCATTTCCTAATTTCGACTATACAAAATCCGGCAATCCGTTCAATCAACGCATCAATATCCTTCTCGGTCACGATAAGTTGGTGGATGTAACCTCGGAGTTTACCGATGTGAGAGTGACGGAAATGGTGTTCTTGCAATGCATGTCCGATGACAAAGACGTGCGCGTCATCGAGATTTTTCACAACAATAAGACCCTTTCCATATTTGCCCAAACAAGTCGATGGGGAGTTTTCAACCACGAAACATCTGGAAAAATAGAATTGAGGATGTTGCCTTACGGGTACCAATCCTAGCAAAACATCTATGACCTTCATCATTTACAAATTGAGGAAATTCAAGTCTCTTTTTCCAAATGGACATTCTCGGGAATCCTACTCATCTTGGTGATGCAAATTTGTTTACTCATTTCAACTATCGTAAATATGGAAATCCGTTCAACTGATAACCGGAGACTGGGTTACGACAGACAGGTCGATGTCACCAACCTCTTTACAGATGCCGGTATTCAAGTGGGTGAAAAAATTTTGTTGCAATTCACAAGCGACGACGCAGACATGCGTAGCGTGATGATTCTGCATAATTACAAGATATGTATGGTCTTGCAGAACAAAATAAATTCGGACTATTCAAACGCGAATCGAATGATTCGATCCGCTTACAAGGGGTTGCATTAGGTGGCACGAATCCCGAAAATGCGCGAGTTACTTTCAATATTTATAAATTGGACGAATTTGAGGTGCCACGTGAAAAAGCGCTTATTAAAATAAGAAACAACCCATCGCATATTGGTGAAGGACATGATTTTTTTAACTTCAAATATAGCAACAACCAAGAACTTGGTAACCCATTCAATCAATGAATTAAATTGAAACTTGGTCATGATTATGAAGCAGAGGTCACGGAAAGATTTGCCGATGTCGAGGTTGGAGAAAAGGTTCTGTTGCAGTTTAAATCCGATGATCCGTACATGCGTGTTGTTGAAGTTATTCATGATGGGGCAATATGCGCTGCGTATGCCGAGCAAAGCAAATTCGGTATTTTCCATCGTAAAACAAAGACATTGATCAAATTTAAATGAATAGCATTACGTGGTATGAATCCTAGGGCTGCACAAATCACCTTTAATATGTACAAATTAAGATACCTTCATGATGTTTACTCGGATATTGACATTCTTGGTAAACCCACATTTATTGGAAATGATACTGTCAAAGAACCATTTCTTAGTTTCATTTACAGTAAATATGGAAATCCGTTCAATCAACGATACGAGGAACGGCTTGGTCATGACACAGAATTGGACGTCACGTCGAGCTTTTCAAATGTCAATGTCAATGAAACGGTTCTACTACGATTTACGATCAATGACGCAGACATGCGTAGTGTTGTGATTGTGCATAATTCAAAAAAATACTTGGTGTATGCAGAAGAGAACAACTTCGGCATATTCACGCGTGAAACGAATGGAACAATTAAACTTCGAGGTATAGCACCACGCGGGACAAATCCCGCACATGCACGCGTCACCTTCAATATTTACAAATCGGAGAATTTCGACCCAACCGTTAAAAAACCAAATATCGTCATCAAAAATAAACCGTCTCATCTTGGATCACCTGTTGCTGATTATAAAAATTTACAATATAATGGAACAAATCAATTCGGAAATGCATTCAATCAACGTCTTGATCTAAATCTCAGTTTAGGAAAAGAAATAGATATCACTTCGTTATTTTCACATGTTTTGGTTGGAGAAACAGTGTTGCTATTGTTTACGAGTGATCATTATTATATGCGAACTGTTATCATTATTCATAATGGAAAAGAATGTGCCGTGTATGCAGAACAAAGTCAATTCGGTGTATTTAGATGAGAAACAAAGGGTTCTATCAAATTCAAAGGTTTAAATCTAGCTGGAACAAACACACCTGAAGCTAATGTCTCGCTCAACATTTACAAGGTGAGGGATTTTATTGCTGTCTATCGGGATATCGAAATTGTTGGTCAACCGACTCATATTGGAACAAGTGGATCGGATTTTGCCGGTTTTGATTACAATGATGCTCATCAATACAGGAACCTGTTTAGTCAACGCTTCAAATTACTCTTGGGACACAATGTAGAACGGGATGTCACCCATCTATACACCCACGTCACCGTAGGAGAAACTGTCATGGTACAGTTCATGTCGAATGATTATAACATGCGCGTTGTTATTCTTATTCATGATGGAAAACAATGTGCCGTGTATGCTGAACAAAGCAAGTTTGGTGTGTTTACGAGTAAAACAAACTGCTTCATTTAACTCAAAGGATTGGCTGGACGAAGTACTAATCCTAGCAATGCCAATGTGACCTTCAACATTTACAAATTAAAAAAAATTTATCACGTGTCGGATCTTACAGATTCCACCCATCCTATATAATCTGCGAAAAAGAAAAGAAAAACCTCACATAGTTATACAGATAAGAGTGACGTACCCGATGATTCAAATGCTCAAACAAGATTTATGGTATATAATTACACACACGGACAAATTAAACGCAAATACAACAACTTCTATTTGTTTCCGCACGTGACGAACAAACGTCTTTCCTAAAGTAAACTTAAAGTTGAACATAACGTCTCGTCCGTTCATTATCTACATTAATGGTGTTTCAAGAATTAATCCCTATTACACACGATACGACCACGAATGCTCCAACAATGAACAGAAATCAGGTACTGGATTTATCACGCATTCCTGATCAATTCAAGACACCCTATGGATTGGAAATCATGCATCTGGCTTCGATTGGCCATGCGCATTGAATATGACGAACAACACACACGCCTTCGATTTATCTGTATTCCAAGGAAGGAATTTTAGATCGCTGTCACTGGGTCAAACATTTGTTAAAAACTCTGAACTCGTCTCCGTACAGGAATTCATTAAGAGACAAGGAAAATTGATTGCAAATAACTCAAATAT